GCTAGGGTGGCTGCTGAGACTGTCAAGATGTGCTTAATAGAGGTGGCTGGCACGGAGGTAGATGTGTTTCGGGGCGTTAACTGGGAGGGGATCTCCATGGAGCCCGTCCCTGTGAGCCAGCAGCCGGTCGGGCGCTGTTTCTCCACCCCTGGGCTCGGGCGCTGCTTTGGGCCTGAGGAAAGGCCTGGCTGGCTCTGCCGCCCTTAGCAGCCCTTCCTTCTGAAATACCTCCCTGCTGCTCGAGCTCACTTCTGTGCACTGAAAATAGCTCTGAAGAGCGAAACTTGGGTTTGTTGCAGTGTTTATGGCATATGCTGGCAATCCCTTTTTTCAGTTGTATACACAGTACAAGAACTTTGATCTCTCAGTTTTCTCTCATCTCTTTGTCTGCTCACAAAGAACCCAAAACTTTTAAAAAATCCTCCTTACTGAAGTGTATTTTTCAGTGTATGAGCAAGGATAAGGTAGAATAATTGCACATACTTAACTCTAAACTTTCTGGAACTGCCTGCACTTCCTATACCCTATACAAGATCATGCTGTTTGCTGGTCAGGTGAATACTGATGGAGGTCTTGAATGTCTCCCTGAAACATGCCACAACACTGTAACTACAAGAAAACTTCTAAAATATTCTTTCAGATGTAAGGTAATTGCTGTTTGTGTATCATACTAGCATTTAAATATTGAAATAGATTGTCTTTTGGAGAATCCAGTGACAGTGTCCTGGTTCAAAGTCATCTTGATAAGCCCCCCACCTTGAATTCAGGATTGAGGTCCAGTCTTAAATGGTCAACATACATTACTCCTTGTAGCTCCCAAATTTCCACTCATATTTTCTTTTAATTTATGAAGAGTTCCCATGGCCAGCTCAGGATGTTGATTAGAGCATGAAGGGGAAGACACTTCTGAATACTGTAGTTTTCCATGTGAAATCCAGAACTGTGGTTTTGGGGTTCACTTATCTGTCAAATTGTATTACTTCCGATTTAATTATTTTTTTCTAGTAACTTGGAATTAAAGAAGTGAATTTCTTAGTGCAACTGCTGTTTCCAGTGTTTACCAGAAAAAAGCAATCCCTTTTACAGTGCATGTATAATTGCTCCAAGGATGTCTGATTCAGTTCTGGAGTTTGTGAGAGATTATAAAAAAATGTTGTCCCTGTTGTTGACCGTAAGTATTAAAAATACCAAATTAAGGTTCTTCTGCAAATTCTGTGTACTTAACCCTGTTGTATGGATTGGAAGCCCTAGTAATGAATCTGACATTTGAAAACGTGTTTAGGTTTGTGAATAATTTGAGTATATGAGAAGCCTGGTAAACAATAAAAGGCTAAAGTACCAAACTAAAAACGTGAAATATTAAACACTGCATTACTTCTGTGATTTTTGAGGATAATATGTTCTTTATTGCCATGAGAAAAAGAGAGTTTATGTAGATGATGCGGTGCTATAGAAAATTAAAAGAGACTCAGAGGTTTATAAAATGAATTTTGCTGGCCTTGAGGAATTAAAGGCCTTTTTCAACCAGGATGATTCTGTGATTCTGTAGATACTAGGAAGAAATTTTTTCCTGTGAGGGTGGTGAGAGCCTGGCCCAGGTTGCCTAGGGAAGCTGTGACTGCCCCATCCCTGGCAGTGTTGAAGGGCAGGTTAGATGGGGCTTGGAGCAGCCTGGGCTGGTGGGAGGTGTCCCTGCCCATATGCAGGGGGTTGGAACTGGATGATCTTTCAGGTCCCTTCCAACCTAAACCAGTCTGGGATTCCGTAATACTAATATTAGGGTGTTTAGCTATTCTAACCACTAAGGGTGCTATTCCAGCTACTAGTGAAAGTGTTACCTCTTTAAAAGAGCTGACTAGTACTTACATAAATAACACTTCATCATTTCATGATTCCACCGGAAGAATAAAAACCTGCTGCCAAATCTTTCTTCTGGAGCTTTCCTAAAGGAGTGTGACCCAGCTTGCTGGGGCAGCCCCTAGGCTGGGGGTCTGGCAGGCACCTCCTGCTGGCAGGAGAACTGTCCCCCCTACCTGTCCCCCCTGCCTATCTCTCAGGGACAGGGATGCACTGGGCTTGCTGGGTGTGTGTGTATTGAGTCCCACCAGGCTGCTCACTGCAGAGGAGCCATGGTTGATGATAAGATGTTGCAGGCTGAAGAGCTTGTGCATATCTAGGCACGCTGTGAGAAGAATTCACCCAAAAGTGGCAGCTCACCAGCAAAAGCACCTTGGCTGAGCTGTCTGTGCCAGTGATAGCTGGTCATGCAACACCAAGCAAATATGGTCTTCCCTGCTTGGCTATGAGCTTGTGATGCTAGAGCTTTGATGGGCTAAATTATTCCTATGAAATATGGCCATATTTGGTGGTGGTGGATTTTGTATTAAAGAAGGCATTTGTGCCCACCTTGAGACAATACTGCTATAACTAATTCCAAGATTTTCCAAATTTTGCTTTTTGGGCATTATTTTTTCTTTGCATTCCATTTTACTAAGAACATACATAAGTGTTGACTAGGGCTGTTGACTGACTTCTTTTAAAATCTGTGTTAAGGTACTCTAGTATGGCAGATTATTCAAAATAAAACTTTGATCTTTCTGTTCTGGAAAATGGCTCCTGAGGGAATATCTTAGTCTTGTCTTCAACTTGTTTTTTTAATGGTACAAGTGGTGCTGAGCATACCTGTGGACATTTAATTGTCATACTGCAGTAATTAGAATGTTTGTGTTAATAGTCTTTTTAACTTCATAGTAGTAATTGCGTTGTTTTCTGCTTTTCCTGGTTTTATAATTTGTACATTTGATAATTTTAGTAATTAGATTAAGTGGCAACATTAGATTTGAATTTGTTTTTATTTCAGGGTCATTAAACTGTTTCCCTGTAGTAAGCTTAATGACAATGGAACTTCACACTGAATTTTAGACCATTTAATGCTTAGGTTCAATTACTTCATCGATATTTCTGTGACAAAAGTAAATGATCTTATTGAAGATACTACTTTTCCTTAACCCAGATTAAACACTTTCTTGCATGGGCAAGTTTAGAGGAGAATGGATGTGTAGTAGAAAAATACTGTGCCTGGTGGCTTCAGCAGCAACAGTTTCACTACAATTGTGGGAAAAGTGATATTCAGTGATTTTTATTTGCCTAAAAGCCTGTGGGATGTAGGTTTAGGGGGCTGATGTAAGTGCTTCCTGGAGGAATTCAAGGTGGGCATTAGTCATCTTTATTTAAATGAGTTCATTATTGATAAGCTTTTGTGGGGTCAACTTTTACGTTAGTGCAGGCATTAAAACAGTGGCACATTTATAGTGAGAGGAAACATGGTCAGTATTTGCCTCAAAAAATGGTCATCTGTTTGAAAGTGACACTCTTGAGGAGCTAAGGGCAGAATTTTTGTCTCTAGGCAGTTGTCAGATAGGAAAATTTGCAAGCAAAACATGCAGCAATTATGAATTTATGGCAGCAACCACTGGAAGTGCAAAAATTTGCAACATGGCTGTACATATTGGTATGTGGTGTGGATGTGGGGTCATCCTTATATTTGAATTTCTTCAGTTGATTGGAGTATGTTCAGTCTTAACTTCTTAAACTTGTCCTGATACTCCAGAAGGCCTGTATTAACTGCTGGTGAGGTTCTAAAATACAGGATATGGCTCTTTAAAAGGTGGTTGTATTCACAATTTTGTCTGCTAGTAATTCTAATTTTTTTCCAAAAAGGAGTTATTCTTTATAAAAGCAGTCACAGTAAATTTTCTAGTTCTATGCAATTTTCTTTCCATTCTGATTTTCAGTGGTTATAAATAACACATGAAATGACTTTCAAGGTAGAAAGCAGGAATCCATTTTGAAATATTCTATAAAATAAAGAGTGATTTATGGTTTCATATGATTTTGGCTGAAAGCACTCGGGCTTTGCCAGGTCATCAAAGTCCTGTCAGGAGAATGTATTATTTATTGTTCGATATGCTGGGAGTGGTATAAGTACTTTATGTTTATCTTATGTAAGTACAGTGTTAGGAAAAATCACTTCCAGATACTAATACAATTTTTAAAAAATACCATGAAAAACGAACGTAAATGTTATAGTTGTGAATTGTGAAGTTAACACTGAAGATTGATTTTTTTAAAAAATTGAAAAATGAATAATTCCTAATGCTTCTATTGTTGCAGGGTAGTTTTAGGATGTGCTTAAAATGTTTTCTAATACACCTTCTGGGCTGATATTCCGGTTACATTATCTTATGTAATAATACAATCTTCAGTTTACATAAGCAGCTATTTAGAGTTTTACAAGAAAAGCAAGATGGAAAAGCAAGATGGAAAACCAGCTGAAGCTGGGTATTTTTTTATGTCAGTGGTAATTCTGGGCTAATACTGTGGCACTGACTTACAATGTTGATGTCTGGAAGGAGGAAATAGACCCATATTATTCTCATTTGTAAGTCATTACCTGTCCATGTGTATGTCAAAATGCACACTGAGTGACATGCACTAGTAGAGGTTAGGGGTGGACCTGCTGGAAAGCAGTTCCCAGGAGAAGGATCTGGGAGTCTTGGTAGGTAGTAAATGATCCGTGAGCCAGCAGTGTATCATCTCACCAAGAGGGCCAGTGGAATCCTGGGGTGCAAAAGGAAGTGTGGCCAGAAGGTTGAGAGAGGTCATCCTCCCCCTCTACTCTGCCCTGGTGAGGCCACATCTGGAGAACTGAGGCCAGTTCTGGGCTCCCCAGTTCAAGAGAGACAGGGAACTGCTGGAGAGAGTCCAGGGGAGGGCAACAAAGATGAC